TTCAGGAAATATTCACACCAACTGTGCTTAAATTTGCATCAAATCCACGTTTTTTGTGACTCTTTTGGTCTAAAAGTGAAATTCCCCTTGACCCACCTGTGGAGCACCCATTAGTCACAGGAAATAAATCAAGATGCTGTTTTTGTCCCTCGTCATGAATCAGACTGTGTGTCATTCTGCTTTTTTCACACATGCTAGAGGCTGCAGCTCCTTCACTCTCAGCTGTGTGAGCTTTGATTGTGTTACTGCCTTTCATGTGTCTCAGGTGCTGGGATGACACAGACGTGGCCTTCATCTGGTGGATCATTAAAGCTCCAATAACCGCATCCCTGTTGGTGAGTCCACGGCGTTGGAACGGGCTTTATAAGACCCCTCAATCTTGGATCTGTCCCGCATTTGGGTTGTAATCTTGTGTCGACATGATGGAAACAGTAGCTGGTCTCGCATCAGAGAAGCAGCCCGTGTGTTTCTGAGTTCCACTGGGAGATTATTATAAGTACGGATAATTTAAAAATGATGATCATTTCCTGCCATTCCTGTTTTAGCTGTTTCTGATTAGCCCCTTGACGATTTAAATTCCAACTTTTACAACTGTTTCTTGTTCACATGGGAAAGTATTCCTCAGGAAAAGTCAGCTCCTGGTGCCCACCGTCCTCTAGAAACATCTACGGAGCGACGGTGGCACAGGATTTAAGTGCTCACCCCGTAATCAGAAGGTTGCAGGTTCGAGTCCCGCTCAGTCTGTTGTTGTCGTGTCCATGGGCAAGACACTTAACCCACCTTGCCTGCTGGTGGTGGTGGGAGGGACCGGTGGCGCCTGTGTACGGCAGAGTGTCCTCTGTCAGTGAGCCCCAGGGCAGCTGTGGCTACAATGTAGCTCATCACCACCGGGGTGTGAATGGGTGAATGACTGATTGTGTTTATAACGCGGGGGCAGCATCCCAAAACCGTCCTCTCCCGGCCACCTCCACCTGCTCCTCCGACAGGGCCCCAAGGAGTTCCCGGGCCATTTCAGAGATGCACTTTCTCCAACGTGTCCTGGGTCAGCCAGGGGGCCTTCTGCCGGCAGGACATGCCTGAAACACCTCCCTGGGGAGGCATCCAGGAGGCATCCTAACAAGATGCCCAAACTACCTCAACTGATTCCTCTCAATATGGAGGAGCAGCGGCTCTACTCCAAGTCCCTCCCGAATGTCCGAGCTCCTCACCCAATCCCTACGGCTGAGCCCAGCCACGCCCTAGAGAAAACTCATTTTGGCCGCTTGTATCTGCGATCTTGTTCTTTCGGTCATTACCCAAAGCTCATGACCATAGGAGCGGACTGGGCGGTTGATGGACTGGTAAATGTTGTGTGTTTATTTATTTGGCAGACACTTTTATCCAAAGCGACTTACAGTTTATAACCTGTAGGGCATGTTGTGATCTGTGGGGGAAACCGGAGTACCCGGAGGAAACCCACGCATGCACGGGGAGAACACGCAACTCCACGCGGAAAGGTTGCAGCCGAGTTTCGAACCTGCGACCTTCGCGCTGCGAGGCAGCAGTGCTAACCACTTCGCCACCATGCAGCCATGGAGAGCCTTGCTGTCTGGCTCAGCTCCTTCTTCACCACAACAGATCAGTTCAGCGTCCGCATCACTGCAGACGCTGCCCCAATCCGCCGGTCGATCTCCCGCTCCCTCACTTGTGAACAAGACCCTGGCACACGTGACAGCGATGCAGATCTGGGGGGAGGGTCTACAGCTGGGGCGTCCAAACTTTTCAAGGTGAGGGCCAAAAGTGTCAAGCTGATGGTCCTGGAGAGAAAACTGTGATGTTTTTGGTTTGATTACAAAAAATTCAAAATTATGATTTTTAATAATTTTTTAACTCTTCGTGGGCCGATTTAAAAATCTGAGCATAAAGTTAGAAAGCATTGATTTATGTCAAATCTCTGCTGGACAGAAAAAAACGCATCACTCCAGAAATGAAATTGGGGACCGTAGAAAATTGCTCCCAGAGCCACAGATGGCCCCCGGGCCACACTTTGGACATGCCTGATCTACGGTACTGCTCCTTCGTGTCTCCAGGATGCAGAAGCAACAGTTAGAGTTTCTGTTTACTGCAGCAACAATACTTTAACTTATATCCTCACAGTTGCTAGGCAACAGGACACAAGTTAAAGACAGTAATAAGTCTGAGGGTTTATTCGTCCAGTTCAGCTTCCTGATCAACGAATGGCCCCGTATCTGGTACCAACACCGGTCTACCTTGGACCTAGTGGACCGGTTCTTCATGCTTCAAGCTCACATAAGTGGGCAGGGCGTCCGGCGCCGATCGCAGCAGTCTGAGGCTCTGCTTATATTTGTTTCTATTAGAGCTCCACAGGCGACCAGCACGACTACAGCCTCGCACGAAAGCCAGGCGGCCGCGCGGCCAGTCACTGTTAGCTCCTAGCTCCATCTTAAGCCTGATTCATGCTTCTCCGTCAGCTCCACAAGGGACAGACACGCACGGATTGACGGAAGCGTTTTGCTCTCAGACTTCTCCGTCTCCTGGAGAGCGTTGCAAAGCTATTCCCCGGCAGGACAGCAGAGGGCGTAGCGCTGTTCTGTGGTATCCTGTCATGTATCGGTCCAAGATAGTGTGTTTATATTGTGTTTTTTGTATATAAGAGACTTTTTAACACAGACAGATCTGTCCCTCATTCTCCTCCACCTCTTCATGCGCTCGCCACCTCTAAACCCACGTTTCCTGTCGTTTCCGTCCACAAATAAAACGCTTGCTGCGCATCTTTTCACTCCTCCAGTCACGGGGAATTAAACGTTCATGTTTTTAGAGTTTTTTTCGCGAGGTATTCTTCAAACTTCTCCGTGTCTGCCGCTAGTTATCCTCGGCTCTTTGTTTTTCAGGGCGCAATGGCGGCGGTGTAGATGACAGCGGCGTCCTGACCAATCCCAAGCTTGCGTTGTCCATCTCGACGGGCGGATGTTTAGAAAAGAGAGCTCGACTCCGTGCATCCTTGCGGAGCTCTCCAGCAGGCCCGCAAGGACGGATAATGGCGTTGCGTGTCTCCGCGCTGACGCAGACGCAGAAATCAGGCTTTAGCTTTGAAGATTAGCTCCGTTAGCTAGCTACATTACTTTATCTGCTCCCACCTTCACCGCTCCACTCGTAGTCCCACCTCTTTTCCCATTTCTGGATTGCTAGGGCGTGACGTGACACGGACAAGATGGAAGGGATGGCAACCGCCCAGATTTGGCTTCATTTAGAGAAATGAGAGGAATGGGTCTATGTCCAGAATGATTTGGACACACCTGCTTGTGTTGCTGGCTGACGACTAAAGTGTATCACAGCTAAATGTCCGTGTGGGAACAATGCCTCTGTCCCAGAACATTCCGTAAAGGGAAGGAGGAAATGAACGCTTGTACTGTCACACCTGTGCAGCCTACTGGGACGGGTGGTGGACCCCTCCTGGCTGCTGCAGCTTGTCTCTCAGAAAGGAAAATTCACATCAAAGGTGTTCCTGTAGCATTTTCATAAAGGTGCCCCCCATCCCTTTGATGGAATCTCTCTGATCTCCAGATGGACTGATGAGTTGTAACGTGTGTGTTTGCATGGCTGCTGGAGTTATTTATGCTTAAGCCGAAGCAGGATTTGACACGACCTGCAACCTGTTTTGTTCAGGTTAACTTCATCATCTTCATCAACGTGATCCGTATCCTGGTGCAGAAGCTGAGGTCTCCGGGAGTCGGCGGCAACGACACGAGTCACTTCAAGTGAGAGGAAACCAATCAAAACACCACCATGCTCAGAGGATGAGTGTGTGTTTATACGAGTGTGTGTGTGTGTGTGTTAGTAGGAGACTGGCTAAGTCCACGCTGCTGCTCATCCCTCTGTTCGGGATGCACTACATGGTGTTCGCCTTCCTACCTGAGAACACCGGAGCAGAAGCTCGGATCTTCATCGAGCTGGGTCTGGGATCCTTCCAGGTGCGACCAGACAAACATGTTTAAAAGTAAACAGAACAGCTGTTAACAGATGTTTATGCTTCTGGCCACCTGAAGGGCTTCGTCGTGGCTCTGCTCTACTGTTTCCTGAATGGAGAGGTGAGTCTGATAATCCAGATTATCTCAGGGTCGCTGGTTGAGTGAGACGTAAAGGATTTAGCGGCATCTAGTGGATGAAGCTGCTAACTGATCTGGTAAATGAAACAGCCTCCTGGTGAAATCAGGAGAAATGCTTCCCACATCAGCATGAAGATGCTTTTGGATGCTTGCTAATGTTTCCAGCTTTGCATCTTTTAGTCTCAAATAGATTTCCCGTCCTTCCTGATTTAATTATAATTATCAGGTCAGGGACGAGGTCCAAGGTTCATGAGTGAGGGAAAACTGGAGCGTGAGATCGATAGGTGGATTGGTGCTGCATCTGCAGTGATGCGGGCGTTGTACCGGTCTGTCGTGGTGAAGAGAGAGCTGAGTCAGAAGGTGAAGCTCTCGATTTACCGGTCGATCTACGTTCCTACCCTCACCTATGGTCATGAGCTTTGGGTAGTGACCGAAAGAACGAGATCACGGATACAAGCGGCCGAAATGAGTTTTCTCCACAGAGAGGCTGGGCTCTCCCTTAGAGATAGGGTGAGCAGCTCGGTCATCCGGGAGGGGCTCAGAGTAGACCCGCTGCTCCTCCACATCGAGAGGAGCCAGTTGAGGTGGCTCGGGTATCTGGTCAGGATGTCTCCTGGACTCCTCCCTGGTGAGGTTTTCCGGGCACGTCCAACCGGGAGGAGACCTAAAGGTAGACCCAGGACACGGTGGAGGGACTATGTCTCTCACCTGGCCAGGGAACGCCTTGGGATTCCCCCGGAGGAGCTGGCCCAAGTGGCTGGGGAGAGGGAAGTCTGGGCCTCTCGCCTTAAGCCTGATTCATGCTTCTCCGTCAGCTCCGCAAGGGACAGACACGCACAGACTGACGGACGCGTTTTGCTCTCAGACTTCTCCGTCTCCTGGGGAGCGTTGCAAAGCAATTCCCTGGCAGGACAGCAGAGGGCGTAGCGCTGTTCTGTGGTATCCTGTCATGTATCGGTCCAAGATAGTGTGTTCATATTGTGTTTCTGTATATAAGAGACTTTTAACACAGACAGATTTGTCTCTCATTCTCCTCCACCTCTTCATGCGCTCGCCACCTCTAAACCCACGTTTCCTGTCGTTTCCGTCCACAAATAAAACTCTTGCTGCGCATCTTTTCACTCCTCCAGTCACGGGGAATTAAATGTTCATGTTTTTAAAGTTTTTTCGCGAGGTATTCTTCAAGCTTCTCCATGTCTGCCTCTAGTTATCCTCGGCTCTCTTTATGTTTCTGAGGGTGCAATGGCGGCGGTGTCAACGACAGCGGTGCCCTGACCAATCACAAGCTTGCGTTGTCCATCTCGACGGACGGATGCTTAGAAAAGAGAGCTCGACTCTGTGCGTCCTTGCGGAGCTCTCCGGCAGGCTCGCAAGGACGGATAATGGCGTTGCGTGTCTCCGCGCTGACGCAGACGCAGAAGCATGAATCAGGCTTTAAGCTACTGCCCCCGCGACGCTACTCCGGATAAGCGGATGAAAATGGATGGATGGATGGATGGATGGATATCAGATTATTTGGCCTAATTTTTCTGGCCTTCTGCATGAAAGTGGACATTTATGTACTATTCTAATAAAACATCCCATAAAAGCTGCAGAACACAACAACACCTGGAGAATGTGGTTCCTGGGGGTCCAGACCGTGATCCCTATTGCATGTGGATGAGGGAATCAGGAAATGACTCGTTAGTATCATGGAGTAATGTCCAAGTGGGAAATAGCTCCAGGTTAAGGAGGACTACAGCCAAACGGATTATGAGACACGAAGCTCCGGGTTTTTGTGTCTTCAGGTCCAGGCGGAGCTGAAGAAGCGGTTTTGGAAGTGGCAGACTCAGAGCTACCTGAGCCTCAGCAAACGACGCAGAACGCCGTTCACCGAAAGCAGCACGGTGACTCAGATATCCGTCCTGGATAAATCCAGCCCCAAAGACCAGCAGAGCTCTGAGACCCGCGCCCTCACAGCCAACAACGTGTCCACGGTGTGAAGATCCGAAACCAAACCTCAGAGCCTCTGAGCCACAGGTACCAGTGAGCTCCGACCAGTCGACAGGCAGAGATGAGAGTCTCTCTGGGCGACGGCTCCACACCAAACTCACCGATCATCCCTTAAATAATGAAAACGGGTTCTTCGTGCAGGTTTGTTCTGATTGTTGTGGGTTTTTGTTTTTCCACAAACAAGAAGGATTAAAGAGCTGTGATGTTAATTATAACTAAAGTTAAGAAGATTATATAAAATAAGGATTTTTTTTATATATATAGAATTATTTCCTCCCAAATTTCCATATTTCACTCAAAATCCATCAAATGAGTCAGCAGGTGTGATTTCTAGACCTGCGGACGAATTAAACAGTTTTCTGCTCTTTTCTCTGATTTCTGAAGCTCTGTGAGGAGCTTTTGGTTTTCTCGGACTCTGATGTTGTTATTTGCTGATTCTGGTGTTTATGTGCCGTCGGCGGCTTGGCCTGCAACATGTTGCACAGTGCATTAGCGCACATCTGGAGCACTAGACTGTAAAAGCTTTTTAATTAGTCCGGTTAATGTTTTGTTGCGTTCGTGTGAGTGCTGGTAGTTAAAAGCTAGATGTTTGTTTTCTAAAACCACCACAGTAGATTTATTAGATTGGATGTCTAACATCTTATTTTTGTGTTTAAAGAGTATTTTTCCTGTAAAATACACAAAATGTTCTATAAAACTACTGAATCTGGAGACATTTTACTACTCATAAATTATAAGACTGGATATTTATGAATTTGATACTAAAATTGTGTGTTTTTTAGACAGTTTAGGCACAGACTCTACTGTCCATCCACACCATGCACATATGTACAGTCTGGTTGCCTGGTTAGTAACCAGTTTGTGACCATTCCAGTGCCTTCATGTGTGTGTCTGTGCAGCTGAACTGCACTTCCTGTATTTAAATGTGCAAAAGTAAAAATTCTGTTTGTGATTCTGAACATCTGGGTTCTGTTGAACCTAATAGAAAATGTGCTTCAGTGTTTTTATTCCAGGAAAATGTGTTCAAGTCGAAGCAACAAAACAGTTTTAACGTCTAAAATCTTCTGTGTTCATCAGTTCCTCGTGATGGCACGAGTCTTTGGCTCTGGTCTTCTCATGTCAATTCAATACAGTTCAATTCAATTCTAAAATACTTCATTAATTAAACTGATTGCTGTAGTAGCTCAGAATAATAATAATAATCAAGTCGTCAAAGAGTTGTTGTATATTACAATGGCTGTTGGCAGGAAGGATCTCCAGTAGCGGTCAGTGTTGCAGCGAAACTGAAGAAGCCTCTGACTGAAGACACTCTTCCGTTGTCGGACAGTCTTGTGAAGAGAATGCTCAGGGTTGTCCATAATGTTCGTGATTCTCTGGAGAATCCTTCTTTGCATGATCTCCTCCAGCAGTTCCACAGTCGTCCCCAGAACAGAACCATCCTTTTTTATTAGGCTGTTGAGCCTTTTCAGGTCCCTGCTTCTGATGCTGCTACCCCAACAGACGACGGTGGTACGCCTGACTTCGCCGCGCCACTACAGCCCCGCCTTCTGCAGAAAACTCCCATAAAGTGACGCCAAGCAACCCCAACTTGTCTTCAGTTACCTGCTACAAGTTTGTGGTGATTATTCGAAAGGGCGAATTTTGGAAAATTTCATAGTAAAACTTGACCTTTTAAGTCCTGAGGGGGCGGGGCTTGTGTGACATCATCAATCAACCATTCAGGGGGCGATGACGATTGTCCATAGAAATTTTGAAGGACCTAAGTATCCTCAAGAAGTGCAGTCTGCTGTGTCCCTTCTTGTAAACGGCTTCGTACATTAGTGGCGTAGCCAGAAATTCATCTGTGGGTGGGCCAAATAAATGGCATTGAAAACAAGTATATATATATATATATATTTTCAGTGCACACTGGTACTTCTCTAGTTTCTCGTGTTCCTTTTTCCTGATGTTGCATCACTCGCTATCGCCAAATCAACCACAATGGCTGTCCTCTGTTGTTTTTCCACCACCAAAAGGTCCGGTTGGTTCTCCATCACCATTTTGTCAGTCTGGATCTGGAAGTCCCACAGGAGCTTGGCTCTCTTGTTCTCTACCACCTTAGGGGTGTTACCCCCCTTGATCTTGGGGCTTCCAGTCCATACTCTGTACAGATGTTCCTGAACACAATGCCAGCCACTTGGTTGTGGTGTTCCATGTATGCTTTCCCTGCCAGCATCTGGCACCCTGCAGTTATGTGGTGGACTGTTTCAGGGGCCCCTTTGCATAGCCTACACCTTGGGTCTTGTCTGGTGTGGTAGATCTTGGCCTTTGTTGCTCTGGATCTTAGACGTTTCATCCTGGACAGTGGCTCTCACACTCACTAGTCCTCGGCCTCCTTCCTTACGACTAGTCTACATTTCAGAGTGCTTGATTTGGGATGGAACCCTCCATGCATGGTTAGGATTTTCCATGTCTTAACATTGTGGTTTGCATTTCTTCTCTTGGCCAGCTTACTATTCCTGCAGGAGGTCTGACAGGGCGTAGTTATTTATCACCCAGATCTTGTTCTTGCCTTTGAGCTGACTTCTTAGGACTTGCCTTACTCATCATAGGTATTTGACTGTGGCTCCTTTCCTTGCAGCTTCATCAAGGTTGCCATTTACTTGTGAGATACAGAGGTATTTGTAGCTGTCCTCAATGTCTGCTATTGCTCGTTCTGGGAGTGTGACCCCTTCTGTGTGGACTGCCTTCTCTTTCTTTGTCACCATTTGACCACACTTCAAGTCCCAATGACATTCCGATATATCAGTGCTGTAGATCCTGGTGGTGATGATCAGTGAGTCGATGTCTCGCTCTCTTGGCGTACAGCTTTATGTCATCCATGTAGAGGAGGTGACTGATTGTGGTTCCATTCTTGAGTTGGTATCCATAGCTAGTCTTGATTACTTGGCTGAGGGGGTTCAGACCTATGCAGAACAGCAGTGGGGACAGGGGGTGGTCACTGGTGGTTTTCCACAGCCCCACTGAGTTCGCAGGGAAGGCTCTCAGAGTCCTGTTGATGTTGTGCATCTCCAACCATTCAAAGATCCATGCGTGAAGCGCTGAGTCATAGGCTTTCTTGTAATCAATCCAGGCTGTGCACAGGTTGGTGTTGAGCTTTGCGGTCTTGGACAACTGTTTGGTCTATCTGCAGCTGGTGTTTGGCTCTGGTATCTCTGCCCTTCTGTCCTATGCTGTGATCCATGTGCCCACTTATCTGAGTCGATATGATGCCTGACTTGAGCTTCCACGTTGTGGGGAGACGGGTAATTGGTCAATAGTTGAATGGGACTGTACCCTTTGAAGGGGTCCTTCATGATCAGAATTGTTCGTCCTTCAGTTAGCAATTCAGGGCGAGTCCCATCCTTTAGCAGCTGCTTCATTTGTGCTGCCAGGCGCTCATGGAGTGCAGTGAGCTTCTTAAGCCAGTAGGTGTGGATCAGGTACCAGTGCTGTCCAGTTTTTCATACCTGCGACTCTTTCCTGGATGTCTGCCACAGTGATGGATACTGGGTTCTGCTTGCTGTGGTCTTCTCTTAGAGAAGAGAGAGTATTGCTGTTGTGTGATGCCTCCTCCTCCCTTCCAGTACTGCTCCATCTCCAGCCTTGGTGGGTCTACTCTGCTGTTGTTACACTGCCACTGACACTTACCTGGTTGGGTCGAGAAGAGCCGGTTTGTTCGTCTGGCTTCACTTTCTCTCGTGTATCTCTTAAGGCAGCTGGCCAAGGCTTTGAGCCTTTGTTTGGGGCCCGACCACAATCCTGAGTCCTCTCATGACTTCGAACGATGATCCAGAGGCGTTCCGAGGAACGTCTGAGACGACCGTTGCTGCTGGCTGCCCGAGTAGTGGATGCTATAGAAATGCATTTTACATTTTTGCTTTAGAAACTTTAAACTCGTTAGCAACAATTAAATCTACAGTTTCACTCAGAAAAACTACTATCAAACCGAGTAAAACATTTATTTTAGATACTGTCAGAAGATACAAAAGAAGCTGAAAATCACAGAAACAATAAGAAAAATCATACATTCGGCATGAGAACAGAAACGTCTTCTGAGCTCCGTTTCTTCTCTGATTCAAACCTGCAAAATGTACAAAGACGCAAAACCAAAGAAGAATCTCTTCATGCTGCCAAAGCCAACCCAAATGGAAGAGTCCAGCAGCGTTTATGGCACGGTGCTTTTCCTCATGTCAGAAACATTCAAAGGAAAAGCTCATTCACAAAACTCTTCACAGTTCAGATCAAACCAAAGGCATTTAGCTTATTTGCTGCCTCATGCAGGAGCTGAAACACAACATTCCCCAAAATGCTCTGAAACCTTGACCTGTGGCTCTGATTCAACACAACCAGCCGGCTGGGGAAAGCAGGAGCATGATGGGAAATCTTCGGCTTAAACACGAGAAAAACCAGAACCAGAAGGCAGCATAACAATCAGAAGGGCAGCGATTCACAGAACATTTACAACGTTTGCAGGTTGTTTGGCTACAGACCATTCACATACCACAAACTACTTCATGTTATAGCAACATGTGTGTGACATCAACAGAGTACGGGCAGAACCAGGCTCAGACGTCCGAATCAAAGAACCGAAACATGTCGCCAGAGCCTGGCATTGGCGGACAAATGTGGGACTGAACCAGAGAGGACAGGACTGATTGTCCAGCCCTTTTTCCTCATACTGAATCAGAGCGAGCCCTCATTCGGCTGCTGCTGGATGTGCTATTACTTCAGGTCAGAGGTCAAACAGCACCAGCCGACGGTACAGTTTCAGGTCAGCCCTTCGCTCGTTTGGAGAAAATTGATTTAGTTATTTACAAAGACCTTCTCAAGACCTGAAGTCTGAGGGTGTTTCTCAATGTCAAGGCACCTGGCCTTGCGAGGCGATGTCCTTTGGTCAAAGAAAACGGTTAAATGCAACAGACTTGCATCACGTGACCGCGGCATCCACAGCGGTCACGTAACGTCACGTGACACGGGAGATAACGTTATATTTTATACGTATTAGTTTCAATATAAATATATAACGAGACTTTTACTTTTAAAATTGTGTATATGTTTATTAAATTAAATATATAAGTGAGTTATTACCCGCTAGCCACCGAAGCTGCAACTACTAAGCTACTAACCAACCGTAGATAACTTCTTTGGATCTAAAAAAACCATTTTAAAGTAGTTGACTTACTTTTAAACTTAAAATTGTCCCTGAAGTAGCTGCCGGCTTCTGATCTGCCATCTTTTAGAAAATGCAGTGGTGTATTGTGGGTAATTTTTGACCAAGGCTAGGCTACAAGACACCTCCCGCGTATCCTTGCTCAGCTAGCTAAACGGCTAACAAACGGAGAGCACACGCCTCGGTAGAACATGAACATTGGAACACGTCTTGGCGGCTCCCGATGACGTAGGCAACCGGGGCGGGGTCAAGACATCAAGGCAAGGTTCCTTGGCATTGAGAAACACCCTAAATTTAATGTTGGTCATCAGATAATTCATCCGTTTTTCATGTTCAACATGTAAGAGTAAAGCAGGTGTGACATCCTGTGGGCAAATTTGGTACTGCAGCCCATTTTTTAAGCTACTTTCTTACTTTAGCTCTGAGTTTCATGGCTGTTAAGGATCAGTGCCAGAAGATTTTCGATGATCAGATTTTTGCACACATGAACAATGAGGTGGTTTTTAACCGAAGCTCTAAAGGCCTAATCACCACTTAAGCAGAAATCCTGGCTTTCAGTAGATGCTTTTGCTCTTACTTAGTTTATTTTTTGTTGTCAGGTTTAATATTATAATAAAATAGAGTAAAATAAAGCATGTCAATAAGAAATAACTGGAAAAAGTAATAAAAATGATGTTTTATCATCATACAGACGATATATGTATTGAAACTAAACCACACAAATATACATTTCAGGTTTGATCTCAGTATCGGACTGTTTTTTAAATACTGAAACCTGGAATAAAAAGTCAAAAATTACTTTAAACATGAAACTGAATATTTATTTAGATGTTTTCATGTTTTAGGCTCAAAATAAAAATGGAAAGTAAGCTCAAAATACTGGACATTTAGAGTGAACTGATTAATCAAGACACACCTTATAATCCCTCAGAAAAAAGGCGTATTCATGAGAGAATTTATTTTTATGTATTTAGCAGACGCTTTTGTCCAAAGCGACTTACAAGTGAAATTTATTGTCAATAATGTTTTGGTTTAACTAGAAGATTAAAAGCTTCTGAAAACAGCTGTTTTTACAGTTCAGTCGAACAAAACCAGTAAAACGTGTTTAAATCCTTGAGTCTGTGTATTAAAACACAAACTGGTCGTGTGTTCAGAGTTTAAGAAAAAAACACACACTTTAAGAACTTCCTGTTTTCCTTCATTTGCAGTTTTGTTTTTAAGGAAAATGACAAATCTTTCAAATCACCGACAGGAAGTCAGGATTTTAGTTTTGTGCTTGAAGGCACTCCGAAGACAACCAGCTATGGAGATGAAACACTTCCAAAAGGTCGTTTTAATCTGAGCTAAGTTCTTCACCTCCTAAATCTCCACAGAAGACGTCCTGTGTGCTTCAGCATCCAGTTAAAACACTGAACACCCACAATACAAAATGCACAATAAAAGCAACGACATGCAGAAAAAGAGATTTTGGATTTTTTGACATTTTCTGTACCAACGGCTGCTGGTGGGTTCTGTGCAGAGCTGAGGTCCGGTAGAGGCGAGTGGTCGTAGTCGTGGACCTCAGCTCTCACAGACACCTAAACAAAGACATCTAAAGTGGCTTTTGGCTTCTGTAGGAAACGTTTGGATGAATACGAACTTTCTGCTGGACGTTCGTCCGTCTGATCGGGTTAAACTCACCCGATCGTTCTCAGCTTAAACATTAAACACATTTAATCTACAGTTCCTGTTTGGGAATCAGGCCTAGAGATAAAAACTGGCCTCGCCTCCTCTTTCTCTGATTGGATGAAATTTGAATCCTGTCGCTTTGGGAAAATCAGGAACTCCAGACACGGATAATTCCCAAACTTCAGTCTGGAGTTGAATGCAACACCTACATCTAACTCTTTCCTTCCAGAGCAGATTTACCACCTCAGTGTTTCTGCAACATGATTCCCCTGAAGTATTTACACCAGCTGATCCACCTTAAATCAAGGGGCGGCTACTTGAGGAATGACGGAGTTGAACGATCACACCCTACAGACCCAACATGAACTGGTCCCTTTGTGCCGCACAGCTGCTTCTGTAGCACCAGACCACTTAAAACACCAACACAATATTTACAGACGGACGTGATGCGTCTTCACTTCCTGTTTGGACCTGGAAACACCAGGTTCCTTCATCCAGCTGAACCTGGATCACCGACTCTGGATTTGGCTCGTCCAGGATCAGACGAGGGGCTGTTTCGGGTCGCTGGAGTTCAGTTGGGTTTCCATCACGGATTCGTCAGAGTACAGGTTGTCGAAGGGTTTGGTGAGGTTGGTCATCGGGACGAGGGTGGGAGGGATGGGGTCGTCAGGTCTGGCGGAGGCGTCACCGACGGCGTTGCTCAGGACGGAGTCTCGGCCTGCAGGCTGGACATCCGGATCTGGGAGCTGCTCTTGCTGAGGATGGACAGCTGCGTCCCCCCGTTCACCCCACTGCTCGCCAGGGAAGGATGCCGGTGCTTCAGGTCCACAGCAAAGTACCGATTCACCGTCCAGCTGCGCCATTTCCTCTTGATCTCCGATTGCACCTTTAGGGATATACTTCACAAGGTCATTATTAATGGACCTCGCTGGAAGGAGACAGTTCTCTGTTCCTCAGGCCCGGTTTAGACCTGGAACACGAGTCCTGTCTGGTCCGATCACAGGTGTGTTCACACCGGTGTGATCATTCACCTGCAGGAGGTTTGGTCCAGGTCTGAACCGGGTCTGACTGAAAACATCCACACAACTAAAACATCTGACAGAGGTGGAACCGAGTCTCAACGTCTACCGAGAATCAGCAATCCTGAATCTCAAAGCAAGCAGCAACTTTTTTTATCTCGATGTTTAGGATCACCTGGAGTCCCGTTCCAAATCTTCACTAGTGACCACATTTATGAGTCACGTGACTCGAGTCCACACCTCTGATATTCAACACCACCAACGTCCTTCAGGACGGATTTCTGCTAAACGTTCACGGAAAACCAGCAAACATCACAAAAGTCAGGGGGACGTTAGTCTATCTGCATAGAAGCTGGAGTGAAACATTATTATAATAAGATTCGTGACACTGGATGAGTGCGTTGGTGATGAGAGTGGTATTTGATAATCGTAACGGAGCCTCTGGCGCTCCAGATGTTGCTGTTATGCTGCAGATGTGTGATAATGAAGATCGTTAAGGTGGAGAGACTTACCTCTCCGTTCAGGAAGCAGTAGAGGACGGCGACCACGAAGCCCTGCAGACACACGGACACCCTCGTGAGAACAAGACCCCAAGTGGCCTGTATTTGAGCGCCTTCTAGAGTACTAGAGCCCCCAAGACTCTTTACAAACAGTCATTCACACACAACCTGGTGATGATGAGCTACACTGTAACCACAGCTGCCTTGGGACACACTGGAAGAAGCGAGGCTACCGAGCGCAGGCACCACCGGTCCCTCCGACCACCACCGGCATGCAAGGAGGGTTAAGTGTCTTGCCCAAGGACAACGGCAGCATTATCTGTGAGGAGCTGGTTTCGATTCTACAACCCTCCGATTACTGAACAACCCACTCTGCCTCCTGAGCTCCTGTTGCCCCAGAGACTAGATGAACAGATGTGTGGTACCTGCGGTACCCAAAGACAAAGCTGCACTGGTCCTTGAAGGATCTGATTTAGAAGACAGACTAATCCGTGAAACGTTCCTCGTAGCACAAAATGTTCCCTAAAGCTGAGAGGCCTAATTTAAGGTAAACTGAAAGAAATCAATTATTTATTTTATGAACTAATATTGTTTTGTTGTAAACATGTGGAAGAAACATCTTAAATTTTCAGTCTTTAGCCCTTTGGTTCATTTTTTGACAAATGGTGCAGATCTGAGTCACCTTTCTCCTCCCGCGGGAGGTCATCTGCCCTCTGATGGAGGATCAGAGTACCATCATTTTTAGTACCTATGGATCGTTCTATAACTGTTGTACTGTTGTAAGGGGTCGGGTAGGAGGGTCACCTGGAAGGATCCAAGACCCAGCTCAAAGACCAGACGTTCCCTTTTACTGACGTTCTCCGGAGAGAAGGCGAAGACGGTGTAGTGGATCCCAAACAGAGGGATGAGCAGCAGCGTGGAGCGGGCCAGCCTCCTGCAGAAGCACACCAGCATGGATGCACAGTCATAAGTATGAGTTAGCACTAACGCAGGATAAGTTTTATACTATATGTGATAATAAAAACGTACAGGTAAATGCTGGACTCATTACCACCGATGTCTGGGGACTGAAGCTTCTGGACCAGGATGACGATGATACCGACGAAGAGCACAAAGTTGACCTGCAGACACAAACCTTCCAGGTTAGACTTGACTTTACAACATTAAGGGAAACTTCTAATACTTGAAATGCAAACAGAATTGATCAAAGTTGACATGACAGAATGATCGATTAAGTGTCTGTCAGCATTGAGTTTGAGTTACCATGGTAACGTCGGATGTAAAACCTGAGATTCATTAACACGTTAGGCCCTAACAACTGGGGGAGTGTTGCAACTTTGTGCAGTGCAGGGCACTTCTGGAGGAAAAGCTCTGCAGGCAGCCGCTCGCTGTCGTTCAGAGGCTTCTTATAAGCAGACGCATTCCATAAGGGGGGGCGGAGGGGGCATGGCCACCCTAAGGAAAACACTCTCTCCCTCTCCTCTCATATTCATGTTCACACAAACTGCTAATTTGTCTAATTAATCAAAACATACATTTAAAAGTGAATAAACACATTTATCATTATTGTGGAGCTAAATCAGAATTTAAAAAAATGCTCACCAAGTCTACATCTCAGCAGCTTTAGTGGATGTTTTTGCTCAGATGACAAATGAGACCTTTCTAAGATTCTGAAACATATTTGAAACAACTAAAATGACGGTTGGAGAATGTCGGAGTGAAGTCTTCTTATGAAATGTTTGTTTTTCAAATTTGAGCTAAATGTGTTGGATGCATTTAGAACATAATGGACCATATAAGTCTGACTCACAGGGACTGATTAAGTGTGTCCCCCTTAATGTGCACTGGCCCCACCTGGCCACCCCTCTGAAAATCTGGGAGCGCCACTGCTTAAAAGGCTTAAATACTTTTTAGTGTAAGATGGTAGGAAACTTACAGCTTGGTTATAAGTTGCATTTAGTGTATGTGGTTAACCGTGTAAATATGGGGAAATGAAATTATCAAATGAATAAACAGTGTTTTATCCTGTTTAACCCTAACACCCCCCCAATTGGGGGCCTCTACAGTTTCATGTCCCAAACATCTACAACTGTCCACATTCTCCAAACAACTAAAACCACAATCAAACAGCCCAGATGGGAAACAAGGCCGTTTTAAATAGTAATAAATGAAGATACAATGTTGTTTGAACTTTATTTTAGAAGAGCATCTGACCTTCAGTGGTGTCTGCTGGAAAAAAAAACCTTGAACAAATTTAGTTGAGGACCCCTGGAATAAATAAAACAATTGACTACATTTCCTAAATGGAATTTGAACTGACAAGCAACGGTGGCACAGGAGTTAAGTGCTCGCCCCGTAATCGAAAGGTTGCAGGTTCAAGCCCCGACAAAGGCGTTGTGTCCTTGGGCAAGACACTTAACCCACCTTGCCTGCTGGTGGTGGTCGGAGGGACCGGTGGCGCCAGTGCTCGGCAGCCTCGCCTCTGTCAGTGCGCCCCAGGGCAGCTGTGGCTACATTGTAGCTCATCAATACCAGTGTGTGAATGTGCGTGTGAATGTGTGTGTGAATGGGTGTGTGAATGTGTGTGTTGTAAAGCACCTTGGGGGGTGCCAGGACTCTAGAAGGAGCTATATCAAATACAGGCCATTTACCATTTTACAACCTCCATCCTGTCAGCACGTTCACACGGGGCAGCTCTTCTAAAATAAAGTTCAAGTATTATTTTATCTTAATGTATCAAAAAACCAAAAATTGCTTTGTTTCCTGTTTTGATCGTAGCTGTAGCTGTGCTCGGGGAATGCAAACCATCACTGACACTTGGGACATGAAACTCCAAAGGCCCCCGACTGGGAGGTGCCAGGGCCCAAAGAAATGAGGCCTAGGGCAGAGGTCGGTAACCTTTCCCCATCAAAGAGCCATTATTACCCATTTCCCACAGTAAAGAAAACACTGGGAGCCGCAGCGTTGTGGGCGGGGCCTACCCTCTGACAGCAGAGAGCTGCTTTAACCAATCACAACAGGTGACAGCAACCAATACCAGTCGCTCTTGTACCTCAGAGTTATCTTTCAACAGAAGATAATTAATAAAACAGTTTGTATGAAACTGATCCAAGAGTTGAAGCCCGTCCGTGCTACAATATTTCCATTTTTTCCACCCTGCTGGTGGTTTTAATAGTTGAGCAGGTGACGCTTTTTGAGGCATCACACATAACTGTTCAGAATACAAATCCAGGCTCTGTCTCGTTGGACTGTTGTAATTCAACTTTGTACTGAACTAAACTTTGCATTAAACACCGTTGAAAAGGTAAGAAAAGGTAATTAGTCTTTTTTCCTCGTTTACACTGACGGAGATAACGGCGCAGTGTGCGTGGCTCGGGTGTTCATCAGGTTTAAAGTTTCTGTCTGCAACAATCTTCACTAGAAGGTAAAGCGGTTAAATGACGGGGTTCGCACTGACCCGATGTTTCCTGTATTTATTTTGACGGAGAAATCTCAAGCCTGCAGATGCGCTGACATTTTAACGCACATCGCGGAGGTAGCTACATCAGTCAGGAAAAGATTCCCATCAGAACATCTGAGATGGACACTGAGCCAGCGCAGCTCCCTGTCGGCGTGTGTGTAGGCGAACAGCGAGCTGAAGATAGATCGGGGGCTTGGAGCGCGTTGCAGAACCAGAACCATGCAGGAAGATTCTGTGTGTTCTAGACCCGGTCTCTCAGAGACTTGTCACTTAAGAAATGTTCCCTGATTATGAATCTTTGGCTGAATAGCGCTTGTTCCTGTCTCCAACACTGCGACGCATCCCTGAGCCTGTCTGAGGAACAGTCCAGAATCTCATGTCCAGCTCAGAAAGCTGCTATAGAGACATTTGATTACGCACAAGCAGGTGACCTGTTCACGTTTACGCAGACAATCTATAAATTTAGAATTGGCTACGGATGAAAATATGAATAAAATACATTGTAATTAAATATTCCTTAATTAGTTTACAAGCAGAGAGCCGCGTCAGATGGATGAAAGGGCCGCATGCGGCTCCAGAGCCGCGGGTTGCCGACTCCTGGCCTAGGGCCTAAAGGGATAAGAAGGAAACACCAGCAGAGTACTAGAGAGTGTTTGGCCCAGCTGACGTACCATAATGGAAGCCAGAACCGGTCCCTTTATGACCCACCAGATGGCAGCGTTGTCGTTCATGTCCCAACACCTGAAGGAGACGAGAGACATCATGAGCACAACAACCTGACCTCTAAACGCTGCATCGCTTCCTCACCCACCCGATATCATCGAACTGCATCCTCAGAACGGCCCAGATGGTCACACACACCGTCGGCGTTCCTGTCAGAGCACACACACACACACACACACACACACACACACACACACACACACACACACACACACACACACACACACACACACACACACACACACACACACACACACACACACACACACACTGTTACGTGTCGTGGCCCTTCTCGGCCACAAGATGGCCCCAGTGGCCTTTGCCTCGCCTGTCTCCCGGTGCCCAGCTGTTCCAAATCAGGGATGATCACTTGGCAGCTGTTAAAAGCTGCTCTTCTGCCCTCAGTCAGTGACAAGGTCAAGGATAGTGTAGACCGGGAACTGTTTATGCTATTCTCTTCTCCTCGGTTCGCTCGTTCGTCTTTGGTAAATAACTCGTTTTGGGTTTGGATTTAGGATTAGATTGTTTGGCTATTTGACTTCGGACCGGCATTTCTACTTTGAATTTAGGATCTCCCCTTTGGTGTAAATATTAATATTCTCGGTTATTTTCTCCCCACCCCCTTCTGGGGTGGCGCTTTTCGTCCTCCCGTTTTGTAAATAAGCTCCTTTTGTTGTAAATATTCGTTTTGTAATAAAACCCTTGTTTTTTAAGTGACACAGCACTTTGTTTATTATTAAATCCACGCACTACTTTTATTACTCCCCTCCTCATCTCTCCTAGAGAGCCGGGGACATAACACACACACACACACATTAATAACTAAACCTGTCAGTGTGTGTTTCAGCTGCTCGTTCAGACTCACCCCAGCCGATGATGATGTACCAGTAGAAGTATCTCTTCTCCGGAAAGAAGGTCTCCACCAGCAGAGTGAAGAGGTACAGACCCTCGATGAAGAGCCAGAAGTAGTTGGAGAGAACGCAGTAATGGAAGAAAATCATCACCGCTCGACACTCCAGCTTCAAGAAACGACGGGAACCAGTGAGTTAAAGCATCGTCAGTAGGAGTGTGTGTGTGTGTGTGTGTGTGTGTGTGTGTTACTCACAGTGTGTATGAAGCAGTGATCACTGTCCTCCTCAGCATACAGCACGCCGTCCTTGATGAAGACAGAAATGGCCCTCAGGATGAACGAGACGAAGAGGTTCATGTGGATGAAGTTCCTGGTGCAGTGAAGCTTCCTGTGTGGATGTTAGTAAAGGTTGTAAAACATTCCTGTTGGGAAACCTTTTCATGACATCAAATCTAAACCTGAATGTGTTCGATGGACAAACGCAGACCGCTGTGAGCCAAGCAAAAACAATCCCTGGGAGACGTCTAACTAAACGTCCGTCTGATGGTGGGAGCGTGTTTAAAACGGATCGTTGTTCATAGTTATGGTTTATCTTTAGAACCCAGTCAGGAACGTCTTCAGGCAATTTTACCATTTAAGAGACTCTGAGGCTCAAAGCAACACCAAAGAGATTTAACACTTTAAGTTATTGCTTTTCAAAATGGTTTCAGTGATTCTTGAAGCAGAAACCAGAGCTGTAGTAAGAGAGAGTTGCAACATGCTTTGAACTCGCCGACTCGCGGTCACGTGGTTCATGGAGCTCTCAATTCCAAACATCACACCACCGTAAGTCAGTTTGAACGGCGTATGGTGGGAAAAATCACAAAAATTGAATACTGTCTCATTTCTCCTGGCTATTTTTGGTCATTTTTGAATAATATTATATATTATGTCCTAACTCCTTCACAAAGGAGCCTATTTCAGTGTGTGTGTGTGTGTGTGTGTGTGTGTGTGTGTGTGTGTGTGTGTGTGTGTGTGTGTGTGTGTGTGTGTGTGTGTGTGTGTGTGTGTGTGTGTGTGTGTGTGTGTGTGTGTGTGTGTGTGTGTGTGTGTGTGTGTGTGTGTGTGTGTGTGTGTGTGTGTGTGCGCGCTCTGTCTTCTCGATCCCCAGTGAGTCGTGGAGGACCCTTTATGTAGCTCCGGTGGCTATCTCAAATAATGGACTTGTGAAAACCCACAGAAGGTTTGATTGGTCAGTGGGGGTAGCGTGATCATGCTGCACGCACATGCACAGATTATTTTCTTTCTGATGCTCTGGAAGGAAGGACGGTCCTGTCGCTTCAGAAGCATCGCTAATCTGCAGGTAAAGTTGGCTACAAAGTTGTAGTCAAAGTAGCTGAGGGGGGTCAGAAATGTCGCCAGATTTGTCGCTAGGCGCGTTTTTGAAAAAAAGACGTTAAGGGTGTCTGAAAAGTCGTTAGAAATGTCGACAAAGTCGCTAAGTTGGCAACACTGCTTCAGTTCGACGGGTGTCGTCATTTGATCCCAGCCTTACAGCCCCACCCTCAGCTCCACCTCTTTTGCCTTTTATGGAATTGTCTGGGCTTGATGGAACCTGTGACACGTTCAAAATGACGGTGGTGGCCACCTCCCATTTTGCCACAAAAACTTATAACTGGAGCCTGTGGACATGAATTGTCCAGTATATATGTCGATGGCCACACACCACAACGCTGAGTTTGTCATGAACATGGCGACTTAGCGCCGTCGCCAGACACCATTTTTTTTACTACAGCTAAAAAACTACAGCGTCGCGCGGTACAGTCAGCATTTCCGTCTTTTTCAGATTGGTTGTTTTTGAGCTGCCTAGTCCCGCCCCTCATGTGCCTCTCTGCCTGTGAGTAACCAGACTCTTTCTCTGAGCAGAATTAGAGATCTGGCAGGCCAGGCTAGCTAGCAGCTAGCTAACAGCACTACAATCATATCAGATCATACAGGGCAACACTAAATCCACGGCAGACTTAGACAGAGTTTACTCTTAAATTAGTAAGTAATTCTTAGGTAATTTAAAAAAAGTCATCAAACATAAAAAGCGCTATACAAGTGCAGGTCGTCATTTATTAATTACTTTTTTTCTCAGTAAAGCTTTAGTAACCTAAAAGATAATATATTTATGTGAGGGCAGTGCAGTAGAAGATGAACAGTATTTACCCTCAACATATTATCAAACTATATTTTCTGTAAGAAATGGCCACCTGTCTGCCATGCAGCAGCCAGTAGGAGGGAGAAGCAGGAAACAGTGTTGCTTTACGATGAAGGATCGCTTCAGCTTACTTTAGTTGGCATTTATGACAGTCTGCATTTATTTTTACCTCAACTGCCATATTTTAAACCCGATCTTTGAGTATTTGAGCGTCTCACCTGAACCTGCACAGGATGACCATGGCTGTGGTGAGCGACACCAGAGAGGTGCTGTAGCCCACCGTGTACAGAGCCTTCACCGACACATAGTACATGTCCTGAGAGGAAAGCACACCACAGCTGAGTGTAAAAGAACCCGAAACCAGGTGGCTGCGGCGGGGGTTAAACTCACCGGGTGGCTGCTGTTTCCTTCCTCGTACAGACAAGCGTCCACGTAGTGAGGAAAGGTCTCCGACCAGCCGAAAGCAGTGCAGTTACGGCTCACCTTCCCCACTTCTGTGGACACACAAAAGGGTTTTTCAGGTGAAACCAGGAGGAAAAACAGAAACCTCTCATCTGAGATGTGTGGGGCTGTGACTGTAAAGTCATACAGAATAATGTCACATTTAGCTGCTCAAAATAAAAACTGTAAAAGACTGAATAGTTTCTTTATCTTCACATTTCTCTTCATATTGTATTAACATTCCCGTGCAGCCGTGATGAGTGCCTCTGCTGTCCTTCAGACCAGCTCTTCCTAGCTATTGGTAGGATTTCTCTATCAGCTGCTTCAGTAATCGGTCAGTGATACATCCCATGTAGGGGTTAGTCCTCCCATGATGGTATTTCCAGCATCTCCTCCTCTGTTAGCCATTGTCTGAGACATTCACTGAGCACGTCAGCTGTTGGGGCCTTGTCCTCGATGTACTTATGCATCTTGGATGCTAAACTATATATTTAATTTGGATTCTTAATACTCTTGCTTATTATTAAAGCTAAAATGTTGTTTAAATGTAATACTTTGCAAAAACGGCCTCTTGAGAGTACCAACTGTAGACTGGTTTAGCTGCTCTTAGTCTTTCTACTCAATATATATATATATATATATATATATGTATTTGCAGAGCAGAAACAAAAGTCAGTAAAACACCTTTAAATGCAAACAGAAAGTGAGTCTCCATCCTGCTGCTGATTCAGTTTGAATACAACACCAGGAGTGAACGGTGACGAGTAGCCTCCAGTGACTGACCGTAGTCTTCCTCGCTTATGAACTGAGAGAAGAGTTCGGGACAGTTGACCTCAATGACATCACCCACTTTGGCTGGCTGCCAACAGGTGAGATTATCCCAAAACCATGGACAGTCTGCGGAAACAGCAGAAACGTGGATTCATCACCTTCATCTGTCTACAGCTTCAAACACAAATAAAACAAAACTAACATCATTTCCTTAAACTTTTTCCTATTTATTCACCTGTTCTATGATGCTAATTCGCTTATCTGTTCGGTGATGCTAATTAGCTTATTTGTTCCTTGATGCTAATTAGCTCACCTGTTTCTTTATGCTAATTAGCACACCTGTTTCTTCATGCTAATCAGCTCACCTGTTCCTTGATGCTATCTGTTCCTTGATGCTATTTAGCTCATATGTGCCTTGATGCTATTTAGCTCATCTGTTCCTTGATGCTATTTAGCTCATCTGTTACTTGATGCTAATTAGCTTATACGTTACTTGATGCTAATTAGCTTATTTGTTCCTTGATGCTCACCTGTTTTCATCTGACTGACCAACCCTTAAATCAACTTCCTGCTTCTGAAACCTGCTATAAGTCTAATGAAAGTGAAAATTTAAAGGGACTCTATGGAAGTCTGACAGCCAAAACATGTATAGAAATAATAAATGTCTTCTTCATACATTCTCCTGCATTGCCCTGGTCCTGTAGAATGAGCCCTGGCATTTTTACTGTGATTGCCTGTTTTTCTGTAAAATCACAGAAAAAGAGAGATGCTCGGGTCGAGCAGGCTGCTTCACGCTCAGGCATCGCCCGTAGCATTTGCTATCCGTAGCTTTAGCAGCAGAGAGAGAGGCAGTGCCACTTTGTCGCTGTTCCTAACGCCTAGTGACAAAGCTAGCTACATTTCTGAGGACTCTTAGCTACTTTCTGTAGAACTTTCTTCTAGATATTTCCTGCAAATTAGCAACAAAATAGCCATTTTCACTCTGAACTGTTCTTTGGTTTGACGTTTCAGCTGTCATCAAGGATATAAAAGTTACAGATACATCAAATGTTACTGGCGCTTTAGCTCACTTAGTAAGATGTCTAACTGTCATGTAGGAGACCTGGGTTTGATTCCAGATGATAATAAAGTTTGTTATTTGGAGTTTCTTTTTTACATTAATGATATATTTTTACAGTAAGACACCCAAATTTTTATTTGAGACTCGTCGAACGGCATTGAATTTACGGATAAAAAAGATGTGGGTTCAACTTTCATTTTGGAACAATTTTTCAAGCAAGGGAAGGGAATGATCTGAGCATGCAGGAGGACTGACCCATCATAAACCTTTGTCGCTGTGCTGAAGAGAAAGCCACAGAACCAAATTATTTCATTAATTAGCTGCGTGTTCTCCTGTCCTCTGTCCTCCGGGCCACACACACACACACACACACACACACACACACACACACACACACACACACACGACTGTCTCAGCTGTTATTTTCGTTAAGGAGTGTGCACGTACAGCATGCGCGCCTCGTGCACGAGCCTACTATTGAAGCTGCCGTTACGCTTTTGGCCTGAGGGGGCAATCGCGAGCATAAAAATTCAAAAGTCCGAAAAGTCCCTTTAAAACAGAAAAATGTCCAAATCAAAGTAGAAGATGGGATGAAAACAGCTGTTGATTAGTTTTTGGTCAAAAGTCTAGTCTTCTCCTCATCCATCATTTATAATCTGATCAGCTAAACATTTTAACACCAGATCAACCTTCAGCTCTATGTAAAAATAACTAAAAGTTTTTATTTTGTTTTGTTGAATTTATTCATTTAAATCAATACAAAGTAGTAAAGTCTCTGTAATGATGTCAGACAACAGGTCAGAGTTAACCACAGCTTGTAGTGCTAGCTGCTGCTCATTAGAACTAACATCCTAAAGATGTTCGGGTTACTAACCCCTGTGCTACTTTCATTTTAATTAACGCCTTGTCAAAACTGTTACGAGTGGTGAGCGTGGAGTGTTGAGATTAAAGGTTAAAACAACGCGGGGTCAGACAAACCCACCAAACTCAGAGCTGGGTTCCTCTGAGGCCATCATCTCCAAGCATTTCTCCTGTTCCCTCTTGATCACGCAGTTAGACGGGACCTGCTGCTTCGAACCCTGGAAACACAAACCAGAGGGAATGTTTATAAATGGACCTCATTAGCTTCGCTCCTCACTGAGAAAGAGACGGATGCTCTGGGAACTGTTTAAACACTCAACCAATTAAATAAATCACTGCATCTCTAAAAGCTAGCTAACCCTGAGGAGGAGCTCCTCTCAAGTGCAAAAAAATAAAAGATTTCAGAAGTGCTGAGAACCAACCCGATCCAGGAGGTGTTTAAAGCTGTGCTGATGATGTAGCTGCAACTCAGTCAGACGCAGAATCCAATAAAAGTCAATCTGAGAAACAACTAGCGTAGTCCAGAGAGGTCAGCGATAGGATGTTTATGAACAGAAAATCTACCAGATCTTAGGAAATCCTGAAAACCGGTTACAGCAAAGTAGACAAAGCCATGAAATTATAAAATGATCATAAATACCATAAAACAAATAAAAGTTGATTCTAAATTCCAGTTAAAATGAGAAATAAAATATTTATGCAAAAGCAGCTTTAAATAAAAGGGTCTTTAGCTGTTTTTTTAACTGTCCAGACTGGCAATGCTACGTAAGGATAAAGGAAGATCATTCCAAAGTCGGGGTGCAACAGTCTGGAAGGAGCGATCACCTCGACTTTTATATCTGGTCTCTGGACCTTCTAGAAGGTTCTGGTGTGTGGACCTGAGGGCTCGGGTTGGAGCATAAGGCGTTAACAGTTCAGTAATATAGGGAGCAGCTTGACCATGTAGAGCATTGAAAGTTATAATCAGGATTGGGTTAACGGGTAACCAGTGCAGAGACATCAGATTAGGAGAGGCGCGTGCTCTTCTGTTTGCTCCACTCAGGAGCCTCGCTGCAGAGTTCTGGACCAACTGAAGGCGGACAAGGGCTTTTTTGTTAAAACGTGAAGAGTGTGTTACAGTAATCTAGACGGGAGGAGATCAAGGGATGAAGAACCATTTCAAGTTCATGTTTTGACACCAACCTTCGCAGTTTGGAGATATTTCTTAAAGAGTGTAGCCTCTCCAATGCTAATGCCAGCCTATCAATGCTTAAGGTCCATCGAGGGGGTAGGAAATCCAGCTAGTGGCATGCCTAGGCATGCTAATGGCTATCCTCTCCGATGCTAACGCCAGCCTATCCATGCTAATGGTCCGTTGAGGAGGTAGGAAATTCAGCTAGTGGCCAGCCTAGGCATGCTAATGGCTAGCCTCTCCAATGCTAACACCAGCCCGTCCAGGCTAACGCTAGCCTATCCATGCTAATAGACAGCAGAGGGAGTGTGTGAACCAGTCAATGACCAGCCGAGGGCTGCTAGTCCCTAGCGTATCTAGTAGTAACGCCTGCAAAGGTGCTTTTCCTCAGTAAGCAGCACCAGCCTCTCAGTTACCGGCGCCAGCTTATCATTAATCAGGTCAGTAGTTTGCTTCAGAATTTATATATCCTCCTGCTGCTGGGCAGTAGTCTTAATTTTGGCCCCCACACCGTGCCATAGAAGAGTGATTGCCTGCCAGTCGACCCGAGTTGGCGGTAAATGGTGATGGCTCATGTTTGACGTTCCCTTTATGATTTCCTCTGTGGAGAGGTGAGGAGGAAGTTTTCCTGCCTCAAACAATTAAAATGCTGGAATGTTGTTAAACAAACGATGAATAAATGATGAGGAAGGCTCCTTATTCATTGTTCCTGCCACACGTTGGTCGATGAATTATTGATGCAGCCATTCTACCCTTAAGAGTGAAAATCAATCTCGTGTTGGGCTTATTCAGAGGAAGCTTAGCCTCCACCTGTTGAGGAGTCTGTTGGGTTATTAATATGTCTGATGATTCAGCCTGGCAGCTGATTGGCTGTGCAACTAAACGTTTCACACTTAAGGTGAAAGTACATTAAACAATGAGCGCTAACTCACCGCAGGCAGGAGGAAGAGGAGGGTCAGCAGGCTGAATTTAACAGCAGACATGTTGTTCTTCTGTAATTTCTTCTCTGAACAACTGGCTCACCTCTGAAAACACAATCAGAGACCATCTTTATTACATCTAGTTTGCTCATTTATGTACAGCACACCTGTGAAAGGGTCAGGATGAGCTCCTGCTGCATCAAGTGTCTGAACAGATGATCCAAGCGAGGAAAATAAACATTAAAATCAGCTTCAGACTCAATCTGGAACCTTGGTCATGACAAAACTGAACCGTTATTATGATGTACCTTGTTGCATCATGTGTTTAACTTTGTATTTGGAAGCAGTGTGTCTAAAACGAGCCCGTGTGCACGCAGCGTGAGGCTCAGGCCAGCAGGTTTGGATGACCAGAGCCAAGTAGCAGGACTGGGCGCTCGGACCTCGCCCCACTGGGACAACTTGGCAGCTTGCTACTCCATCAGAACCCTGCCAGCTAGCAAGCGTTGCCATGGGCAACAGCTGAGGGAGAGAGCTGCTGAGCGTGGCTCTGAAGTGACCGCGTGGACCTGGGAGCTCCTCATGCTCCGTCTTCTGCTCCACGGAAAACAGACTCACTTGGATTTGATCTCCTTTGTTTTCAATAATAAAAATAATGTGTTTGAATCATTTAAAAACCTCTAAAGTAAAGTTTAAATTTATAGGAAACAACAGAAAATCTTAACTACTGCTGAAGGGTTTTCATAATAAAAGCATCTCAGTGTGAAATAAATCTGATGTGTGTACATTATCAGAAGCACAAACAGACAGAACCTCCAATAGCACTGATTCAGTAAACTCAGGTTTAAAGCTTATCTTTCGGATTTGAATCGGACAATGGCCTATTTTGGAGAATAAACAGGGTCTAATGCTGATAAATTCACTTTTATTTACATAATGTAAACAATCTTCCTTCTGTTTTATCAGGCTTTAAAACTAACAGGCACAAAACTCCTCTCATGAAAGATAGAAACACACGAGGAACAAACTTTGTTCTGTAGAGATCAGACACAAATCTGCGTATTTCACACTGACCCTGTCTTCGATGACCAGCCTCGCATCACGAACAGGAAGTGCGAACACGGGGCTTAACGCGCTGACTCACTATGTAAAATTCACTCCGTCGGTGCAAATTACACTTTAATGCGCAACTGAACTACTCGTAAATTGCGGCATTTGTGCAATTTTTGTTTTTGCAATTTAGTTAATTTTCTTATGTCTGTTTTTGTTTGTGAGTTTCCCTCATTTCCAGTCCTGATTTGGCTCCACCGACTCCCAAAGGTGACTCACATCTCTCCACCGTGAGAGTAGATGTGATCCAGATGCCTGATGGAAATCTGCTGCGTGGATTTTGCTCAGTGTTCTAAATGTTCACACGTGTGTGTGTGTGTGTGTGTGTGTGTGTGTGTGTGTGTGTGAGCTCAGCAGCTGCTCACGACCGTCCTCCCTGAGCTGTAATCAGGGCTTTAATGAGTCTCAGTAGCTTTCATGTTCAGCACCGTCAGCCTGAGTGTAACATTTGATGCTTCAGTTGAAAAGTTCTTAATTACCCCCCCATGGCCCAGCCGGAGTACTCGTTTATTTAGACTTGTTATGTTTACGTTACTTGTACGTTTATGTTTGTTCTGGAAACTTTCAGATTGCTGTAAGTAAGAGAAAACTCACCTGTTCAGGCTCTGGTGTTACCTTCACCACCCTCTCCTTATTCTGCCTTCCCCAGGATCCACTGATTTCCCTCTTTCCTATTCTCTCTCTCTCTCTTTCTCTCTTTGCATTTTTTATCTCAGGTGTCTATTTTTGCTCATTTTAAACATATTTTGAATCATTTTCTAAAAAGTTTTTAAAATTTAAAATTTTTTGTTTTTGTGAAGCACCTTGTGATTTTTATCTTGAGAGGCGCTATAGAGAATATCGTTTTCTTTCTTTCTGTTCCTGGTGTCTCTCGGAGGAGTTTTAGGCGTGTCCTCCCATCAGTAGTCCCCCAGGTTGACCCAGGACCTGCTGGAAGGATTGCATCTCCAGAGTGACCTAGGAACGCCTCGGGGTCCTACAGGGGAGATGTTTTTGGGGCCTCGCTACTAGAGCTGCTGCTGACCTGGCCTCTGACTGTCTTCTACCTCTGATTTTCCACTTGCAGTTCCAGGACAGGTCTCTGAGGGATCCACTCCAGGCCCCGACCACCAATCTATGGTGTGATGGGACCCAACACAAGCACAAAATCAAGTGACTATTGGTGCTCATTAATTTATATGGAATTTGCAGCAGGCGACGTGGTCAGTGGCTGGCTGCAGAATCAGGTGTCTGGTTTCTCTGGGTGGTTTCCTTGTGGTGGGCCACATTCATGCCGTCAGTTTTCAGATGTGCGAACCACATATCACCACTACGGGACACCAAATTATCATTCTTATGATAGAATCCACGTTTTCTACCTCAACACCTAACAACGCTAAACATATGGACATGGACCTGAACACAGACGTGGACATGGACCTGAACGCAGGTGTGAACATGGACCTTAACACAGACATGGACATGGACCTGAACACAGAAGTGGACATGTACCTGAACACAGATGTGGACATGGACCTCAACACAGATGTTGACATGGACCTGAACACAGACGTGGACATGGACCTGAACACAGATGTGGACATGGACCTGAACACAGATGTGGACATGGACCTGAACACAGACGTGGACATTGACCTGAACACAGATGTGGACATTGACCTGAACACAGATGTGGACATGAACCTGAACACAGACATGGACCTGAACACAGATGTGGACATGAACCTGAACACAGACATGGACCTCAACACAGATGTTGACCTGAACACATATGTGAACATGTACATGGACCTGAACACAGACGTGGACAAGTACCTGAACACAGACAAGAACATGGACCTGAAGACTGACGCGAAAATGGGCATGGACCTGAACACAGATGTGAACATGGACCTGAACACAGATTTGGACATGGACCTGAACACCGATGCGGACATGGACCTGAACAAAGATGTGGATATGGACCTGAACACAGAAGTGGACATGGGCCTGAACACAGACGTGGACATGGGCCTGAACACAGATGTGAACATGGACCTGAACACAGAAGTGGACATGGACTTGAACACTGAAGTGGACATGGACTTGAACACAGACGTGGACATGGACCTAAACACAGACGTGGACATGGGCCTGAACACAGACGTGGACATGGGCCTGAACACAGACGTGGACATGGGCCTGAACACAGATGTGAACATGGACCTGAACACAGACGTGGACATGGGCCTGAACACAGACGTGGACATGGGCCTGAACACAGACGTGGACATGGGCCTGAACACAGACGTGGACATGGGCCTGAACACAGATGTGAACATGGACCTGAACACAGACGTGGACATGGACTTGAACACAGACGTGGACATGGACCTGAACACAGACAAGAACATGGACCTGAAGACTGACGCGAAAATGGACATGGACCTGAACACAGATGTGAACATGGACCTGAAAACAGATGTGGACATGGACCAGAACATAGATGTGGACATGGACCTGAACACAGACATGGACCTCAACACAGATGTTGACATGGACCTGAACACAGACGTGGACAAGTACCTGAACACAGACAAGAACATGGACCTGAAGACTGACGCGAAAATGGACATGGACCTGAACACAGATGTGAACATGGACCTGAACACAGATGTGAACATGGACCTGAACACAGATGTGAACATGGACCTGAACACAGACAAGAACATGGACCTGAAGACTGACGCGAAAATGGACATGGGCCTGAACACAGACGTGGACATGGACTTGAACACAGACGTGGACATGGACCTATTGGCCAACTCATGGTCCTTTTGATGAGAAGGAGCAGCCCGTAAATCCCTGTCTCCCTCCATCATTGTGGGAGACGTGGGGGAAGCTAACTCCGCTCTGCTTTTCCTGTTCTGATGGATTCTTCCTGACATTACTTTGGGATAAATCAGCAGCTGCAGGAGTTGTAGCTGGATTGATCTGATCTGTTTCAGTCATAAAACTCAGAGAGTGACTTTTCAAAACAGTTTGAGACAATCTCTGGAAACATGTTCAGTCGTCTGACTACAGTCATTCCCATGCTGGTAGGGATCTTTGACCTCACCTTTCCATGTTACACTTATCCCAGAGGGCTTCAGGTGCAACTGGGAGCGATGCCTGTTGTAAAAGTCACAAGGAAAATCCCAAGTAGGGAACTAAAATGGACATAAAACAGTTTTCCTGAAGCATTGTCCTGTATGGAGTCATGTAAACAAATCCCATCAGGTGTTGCATTGCCAAGGGAAGTGATTGAATCCTGACATCCGTGACATCAGATCCCGTTTATGTTCGAAGTTTGACTAAATCTTCATCTCAGGCAAAAACAGAAGCAACAAATCTGGACCAGAAGCTGCCAAAGCAGCTGCTGCCTGAACGCTCACTTTTTATAAGTATTATTGGAAGTATTATTTTAAAAAGTTTTAAAAAAATTCCAAGATGAGATCAAATGTCTTCAGTTTGATGCACAAGCTGTAAAAGAAGGAAAGCCCAGATCAACAGAAAGGTTAATGCTGCTTCCGCTCGTTAATCACCATGGAAACCATGCTGACTCTGGAAAAGCAAATATATGAAAAGATCATTTTAAATGGGAAAAGTCCAACTTTGTGCAACGTGTTTGACCTTTAACCCAACCAGGTAACCCTGAGCTCCAGGGGGGCGGGTTTTTTTTCACCTGTTTCACCTGAACGATGGGAAAAGTTAGCTGTTTTTAACAAATTTACAAAAATAGAGATTCAGACTCAGAGCACAAAGGAAGCTGCCAACCCTTTCAAGCTGAGTGGGTTTGTGTGTTTTTGTTTTGACTAAATCAAGAAACACGACAACCAACAGCCTTAATTAATGAATCTTCCTAATTTGTTCCTTTAACCAGAGGAATGTTGAGTTTCTGCTCCAGTGATGTGACAAAAATAATTCTGTTCCCATGAGGACAAAGGCCGAGGCATTATCAGGATTTGGGGGGATTTGTGCGAGACTCTTTCTCATTGGGTCCATATTTATAAAACCGAGAGGAAGAATGTTCGATCTCTGATTTAGGAAAGGCGTTGCAGGAAAACTCTACAGCCTCTTTGTTCGTCTTTGAATTTGGAACAACTGAAACCTTCAAAGGAAACAGATGCAGGAAAGGCTCGTGGGAAAAAATTTGGACACATTTCAAGACAAATTGAAAGAGCTAACGTGATCATTTGATGCATATCTTGCAGCTTTTTGCATCAGCATTTCCTTGACGAGACCCTTGGATGTCGCTGGGTGTGTAAGGATGCTGTAACGAGGCTGATGTCCTCCTCCTCCTTCACTCCCTCCTCTGCTGCTCAGGTCAGCTAACACAAGGCCAGCCGGGTCCTGTAAATGCCAGCCTCTCAGACACACGAGAGACACAAAACCTGGTTTTTATCCACAGCTGGGCTCTATTCTCCAAAGGCTTTCCCAGCATCCCGGTGGGTCGGTGTGTTTGTCGGCTGCAAGTCCAGCAAATATAAACAGGATTCTGTGGTTTCGCTGAACCAAACAGTAAATTTAAACAGAGAGAGCTGCAAACACGGTGGATAGATGCACGTCAGCAGGATGAGTCCATTCAAAAGGAGCTGGAGGTTTATTTATTTACTGAAGAGTTACTTTTATCACCTGTTTGGCCTTGAATGAGGACGCAGGGCAGATGTGAAACTCAATCATCGCTCTCTGTGAATGAGGCTTCAGCTGAACACTCAGAAATGTCAACAAATCTCCCAGCCTTCTTTCTGTAACCTGTCTAAATCATCCCTGGTGCGGATGCAGGCTATCCTACAGGAAAACACCCGCATATTTATGCTTTTACCAGCTAGATGTCCATGATGCTGACCAGAACCGAGGAGCGGAGGTTGTGGGAGGAAGGCTTGTCAGGCATCTGTGAATTCCCACAAAAGACAAGAAGATGCATCACAAGGTCACGCTCAGCATCATGCAGCCTGGAGTTTCAGAGAATTCCTGCAGAAAGCTGCATCTTTCTGCAGGCCAATGACACACATGCAACCGGGACCATTTCATGCAGCAAAGCATCTATTTATGTTGCTCAGAAATGAACCTTGTGCCAACAACAGTTTTAATACTCTAATATTCAGATTTCTCTCCTTTTCCACATAACTCTCTAAAGATGAATCAAACCTCCTCGCGAGCCTCTGCAGGATACGGACCCTCCTTCCCATCCTGCGCTCCTGAGCAACAAGGTTTAATTTAAGATGATGCTGCTGTTCCTTATTTCTGCCGTTTCCTACCATTTTATCCGCGTGCACTGGCTGGAACTCCTGCGCGCTGCAGACGACCCGACCCGATCCGGGTGGAGGACAAAAAGATCCCTCGGTGCCTCCAGCAGACGCAACTTCCAGCCCAGGCGGACGGAGAGGGGCTCGTTGTGGGGGAGCCGCGGCTCAGAGTTCCCTCTGCAGCGGCTGGAAGCAGCTCGTTGCGTGAACGCGAGAGGATGGCTGAGCGCGTCGCCCTCCACGCCAGAATGCGCTGCGCATTTCAACTACCTCCTCCCTCCGCACACGCGCGCGCGCGCACAGCGGCTCTAATTCAATCCCGCGTGATGAATGTGAAGCACGAGCGTTGGGTAATCCAGGATGAGGAGAAATTGGGTGTGTTGCGTGTGCGCGTGCACGCGCGTGGCCCGGAGGTCATAAAAGGCTCATCAGACTCGAACAGAAGCGATCAGGATCCTGACCAGACACCCTGAGCGGTTTACTGAGCCCCTGCAGGCGGAAACAGGAAGTGTTGATGAGCTAAAGACGCTCCAACAACCAGTGGCGTTTCCAGATCTTTTAAAATGGGGTGGCCCAGGCGAGGCACTACTTTGTGCATGGGTGGCACCAATGGTTATGCATTATTTTTTGTTTGTTTGTTTTACCCCAAGCCTTTGGTGGACAATGAAAAGCCTATTTAAAGGGTATTCAGTGTGGTGACACCTGGGGTGGTTAATCAGATTCCAAGGGTGGCATTTGCTAGCCCTGGCCACTTCCTGGACACGCCCCTGCCAACAACAACAAACAACAGCAAACAGCTGTGGCGACAGCATTTAGAACAATAAAGCTTAAAATCAGGTTTCAAACCACAGTTCATAAAACCAGAGTTCAGCAGGAAAATGTCCACAGAGCGAGTTGATCCACAAGTAGAGACAAAAGTAACACCTTAAGCATGTTTTACTACCACCTCATCCACCCCCTTGTTGCACTCAGGGGAACCACTGAACGGACTGAAGTCAACTAGATTCAAGATGGCTGCCAGACCCGTCGTCATCGTCTTCCTCCGCTTATCCGGGTCCGGGTCGCGGGGGCAGCATCCCAACTAGGGAGCTCCAGACTGTCCTCTCCCCGGCCACCTCCACCAGCTCCTCCGGCAGGACCCCAAGGCGTTCCCGGACCAGATTGGAGACGTAACCTCTCCAACGTGTCCTGGGTTGACCCGGGGGCCTCCTGCCGGCAGGACATGCCAGAAACACCTCCCCAGGGAGGCGTCCAGGAGGCGTCCTGAGATGCTCAAACCATCTCAACTGGCCCCTTTCGATCCGGAGGAGCAGCGGTTCTACTCCGAGTCCCTCCCGAATGTCCGAGCTCCTCACCCTATCTCTAAGGCCCTGTCCACACGTAGCCGGGGATCTGCCAAAACGTAGGTATTTTTCTACGTTTTGGCCTGTCATCCACACGAAAACGGAGTTTTTTCACACGAAAACGGATCTTTTTAAAAACTCCGGCCAAAGTGAAGATCTGCGTTTTCTCCGTTTTGGGTGTCTGCGTGTGGACAGACAAAACCGGAGTTTTAAGGTCCGCAACGTCACTTTCCGCGACAAAAACATGCTGACATCACGTGTGCGACCTGTGTTTACACTAGCCGGCAGCATGGATGCCCTCAGAGCTGCGCTCGCTTTATCAACTGTCCAAGCGCTTTCTGCTTGTTTGTTTTTGCAAGAGGAATTACTGCTGCTTGTGGAAGACCACAGACGAAGGACGAGGTTAAGAACGGGGGAAGTACTGCCGCCTACAGGTCTGGCATGTCCTTAACAACGTATTTATCCGGGTACGTGTGGACAGAGTTTTTTTTTTAACGAGGTGGTGTGGATGCCAGTTTTTGGAGGGGCAGATATTCGTTTTTAAAAACCCCGGCTACATGTGGACTAGGCCTAAGAATCCCCCTTATGTGTCTCTTTGTGTTCCTCATGTGTCTCCTGGTCTTCAGCCCTCCAGATCATCTCTCCCAGGTCCTGTTCCTTCAGTCTTCCCCAGTCACCCCTCTGCAGTTTTTATGGTTTCAGCTTTTCATGTTATTAGTCTCTTTAGTACGTTTTGTCCCACCGGTGTTTGTAGTTTTCCTTCCCTTTAGAATATTAGTTATGTGGTTGCTTTTCTTGTCTTTAGGTTTTTTACTCTTTACTCTTAGATCATGTTAGTTTCCTCCCTGATTAGTTAATTGCTTTCACCTGGTTCTCTCTCCACACACCTGCAGCCCATCTCAACATGTGAGACAGTCAGCTCCTCTGTGGGCATCCTGAGACTGAGAAGGGATGGGACGGATTATCAGTAATGAGAGTGTTCTCTACCCGTCTGTCTCTCACTGACTCTGGCTAACACAGGTAGGACAACTGGGAAAGGTGGAGGCTCTGTTAATAGCAGTTAAAGCCTTTTATCTTGGTTTCTGTTTGACTAATGAAGAACTGTTCATCTGCATGAGGAAAATGTAAAAACAAAAAAAGTCAGTTTGTCAGGTAACAATCCGAAAGAAGTGAAATATTGGAGCAGCCATCACAGACGGTTAGTTGCAGAGGTGAAGAGATGCTGTTTGATCTTCCTCTTAAAGGTGTGAGGCCCGACAGTTATCCGGGCTGAGGTTCGTGTGGAAGTGCAGCACGTTTCTCTCCCTGAGAGCTGGACTTCATTTGTCCACTTCTCTTCCTCTCTGGAAGCACAAAAGCAGCGTTTATTTTTTCTTCCTTCTCATCTGAGCTGGAAGCTGTGAGTTTTATTCTGCTAGTATTCTCCGTCTCGCTGCCATCCGGTCCTCCCACACGGCGTGGAGCGGTGACTCAAGCACCGCAGGTCTGCTTCGTCTCCCATCCGTATCAGCAACCAGTCCCCAAGTCACACACACACACACACACACACACACACACACACACACACACACACACACACACACACACACACACACACACACACACACACGCATGTACGTACACACACACACACGTACTTACACGCACACACATGCACGTACGTACGTGCGCATGCACGCACGTATGTACATGCACTCACACGCACGCACGCACGCACGTATGTACATGCACTCACACGCACGCACATATGTACATGCACTCACACGCACGCACGTATGTACATACACACACACACACAAACACATGCACATACATGTACACACACACACACACACACACAGCTGGCCTTGATGCAATCAGAATTTGAGTTCTTCTCTTGACGCAGTGACATCATTGCTAATTGATCCTCTTTTGAAGTCTGAAAGACGAACAGTATGCAGCTATATGGAGGGTTGCCATAGCAACTGGCCCGTTTCAATGCAACGGGACGTGGAGTGTTGCTGGAAGCTCGGGGGTGATCGGGGAATGCTTGGGTGGGATAAAATGCAGGGTTTGTGAGGAAGAGGAAGAGGAAAGAAGCTGCTGATGGATTCAGGAGGACAAAAACATCCTAATCTAGAAAAACTAAGAAACGTAAATCAGGATTAGGACTGTGTCAGCTCAATGAGCAGAATAATGGTTTGTTTTACTTTATTATGAACTGTTGTTGTCTTTGTTGGAGACCTTCAGCTAGTTGGACTCGCTGCTTCAGTCCAGAACAAAAGAACTTCACACTGTGATCAGAACATGAATCCCTGATAAACAAACAGCTTCCCGGAGCAGAACCTGCTCGTCTCTGAAGCTTTAAGGTTGTTGCTTTAACTACGCTGCAGGAGTCCCGTACACGATTTCCGTTGATGAGAATTACCAAAAATATAAACATTATTATGACCTTCAGTGAAGGATTGCACGTTTGCCTTTTGGTTCCTGTTTGAATAAAACCAGCAGGTTTCTGCAGAGCAAGAAACGCTGGTCCAGATGTCTGCTGGGAACGTTCATCAATGTAAATATGATGCATTGTTTTCTCTGCCAGCGGCTCCTTATCGTGCTGCAGTGATAACCAGGATTACAACACCATGGCAACAGCCTCCACCTGATCACGGGGAGGTGGAGAAGCTGGAGGGAGATGGAGATTATGGTCCGAGAGGGACACCGTGATGCATCTCCAACACTACAGAGGTCAGGCTGACATGCAGGAAGAACATTTATTATCCCAACAGTCTCCGTTTGAGTTTTAAAACTATTTTAAATGTTTTCTCACGTCTGTGCGGTCCGAGCACAGGGTGACGGGATCAATGAAACCGCTGTAGGAGGAACGCAGCTGCAGGCCCATGGGTCTTGCTGCCCTCAGCGTGCATGGCTCATGTCCAGCCTGGTAAACCCTTCAGCATACGTCTGAAACTCTGTCAGTCATTAAAGGTGTGGGAAACTCAAACCGATGCATCTTCTGAGGTAGCCTGACCAGCCATCCCAATGCTTCCAGTCTGGGAAGTCTTCTATTCAAATAACCCCGCCCCCTGAGAATTCTAACTGAGCCAACCAGCGCTGAGCGGCGTACGTCACACACTGCAACGCTGAGTTTGTCATGCACATGGCGTCTGAAACGGAGTTCGCTGCGGCTCTTTCCTCTGGTCTAAATGACGTGAACGTCTTTAAAACCACAAGCAGAAGCGCTAAAAGCCTTTCTTCTAAAGAAAATGTTTGCGCCGTCGCCAGACGCCATTTTTGGCTACAGCTAAAAAACTACAGCGGTACAGTCGGCATGACCGCCTTTTTTTCTGATTGGTTATTTTTGAGCTGGCTGGTTCCGCCCCTCGTGTGCCTCTCTGCCCGTGAGTCACCAGACGAGCTCTCTGTGCTGAATTATCAGAGGACGAGTCTGGCAGGCCCGGCGACTTCTGAGGTAAATGGTCTGTATTTGATATAGCGCCTTCTAGAGTCCTGGAACCCCCCAAGGTGCTTTACAACATAATCAGTCATTCACACACATTCACACACTGGTGACAATGAGCTACATCGTAGCCACAGCTGCCCTGAGACGCACTGACAGAGGCGAGGCTGCCGTATGCTGGCGCCGCCGGTCTCTCCGACCACCGCCAGCAGGCAAGGAGGGTTAAGTGTCTTGCCCAAGGACACAACGACAGCGACAAACTGCGCGGGACTTGAACTTGCAACCTTCCTGTTACAGGGCGAGCACTTAGCGCCTGTGCCACCATCACCCCTCACCCAGAGGTGGCCTGAGAACCCTGAACATTTGCATCAGCGGTTCTCAAAGGTGG